GCAGGGAGGGACAGAGAGAGAGACAGAGGGAGACACAGAATCTGAAGCAGGCTCCAGGCTCTGAGCTGTCAGCACAGAGCCCAACGCAGGGCTCGAACCCACAAACCATGAGATCACGATCTGATGGAAGTCAGACAGTTAACCAACCGAGCCATCCAGGTGTCCCAATTTGCCCACTTTTAAATTAGGTTGTCTTTTTGTTGTTGAGTTGTTACAAGTTCTTATATATTCTGGAAACTAGGCCCTTATTATATCTATGATTTGCCAATATTTTCTCTCATTCTGTGGACTGTTTTCTCACTTTCTCGATAATGTTCTTTGATGCCCAAATTTTTTAATTTGATGAAGTTCAATTGATCAGCGTACTTTCAAATACACATTTAACAAAACACATTTTATTTGGAAATTTCCAAACATACGTAGAGCACAGGATAATGAACTCCCTCCTAAACTGGTCATGAAGCTTCAACAACTACCGACATTTCGTTGCTGTTTCATCTATGCCCCTGGTTTTTGTTTTCATGGCGGTGGTTTGTTTTGGTTGTAATATTTTGAACTAAATAGCAGACATCATGTCGTTGCACCTCTAGATACTTCAATATGCATCTCTAACTGACAAGGACTTTTTGGTTTACATAAATATCTTCCTTCATCCCATCTAACAAAATAAACAATTCATTAATGTTACCTAATGTTCACTCCATATTCAGATCTCCCCAGCTGTCTCAAAGGTGTCTTTTTTTTTTACACTTAAACTATTGATTCAGGATCCCAACAAAAGCCACATCTTGCATTTAACTGCTCTGTCTTTCACATCTCTTATTTTGTGAATGTCTCCTTTCCCTTGTTTTTTATGCCATTGATTTGTTAGGAAGACCACATCATCTGCCCTGTAGACTATCCCACCTTCGGAATCTAGCTGAGGTCACATATTGAAGTGTGTTATAGCATCATTTACACACAAACAAATGAGCAGCCAGAGTTGGCGTAAGAAACAGAACAGATCCCAGTAATAATAGCTAATAGCTATTTGGTACAAACTATGCAGGACATCATACGTACATGAACCCATTGAATCCTCACAGTAATCCTAGGAGCTAGGTGGTACTCTCATCCCGTGTTATTGATGAGAACACTAGGCCCAGAAAGGTTAACTTGCCCAAAGTCACACGGCTAGTAAGGGGTAGAGCCAGGATGTACCCCCAGCAGTCTAGCGTCAGCCTCTGTGCACTGCACTATTTCTAGATGTACATCTGGTCACAGAACCTTTTACGACAGACTTTCAAGGCCACGATTGAAGGGAGACCCCCAAGTCCTGTTCAGGAGCATGTGACTTGAAGTGACCCCTCTTTGGTTATGGGGATGAGAGTATCTAGGAAACTTCTAGGATTAGGAGGTAACATGGTCCTTTGAGATAGATATTATCCTCACTCTAGAGATGAGGAAACTGAGGTCCAGGGCAGGTGACATCCTTTAGGCAAGAGCCCCCTGCCTCCTAAGAAAGTTCTTTTTCAGTCTCCATAAATACTGCTTCTGGGCTGAGGGACCAACCCACGTCTGCCCGGGGACAGCCACACCAGACTAGGTTCTTCCCTAGTGTCAGTAGGGTTATCTCTGCCAGACCAGCCTATGGCTCCAGAAGGGGCTGCTGGGCCAAGCCTGAGACAGGAAACACCAACCCCAAGGTGTCTCCATGGGATACTACACACAGAGGGTTAGCTAGGAGTCAGGTATGGTCCTGACTGAGATTGCAGCTAGCCCTATCGTGGTCAAGACCCCTGCAGAGAGCTGATGGTTTGTGTGGAGGGACAGTGGCCCACAGCCTGCTAACCATCCAAAACCCCACCCCAATGCCCACAGGCTTCTGGGTCTCCTTACATCTTTATCTTCCCTGGCAGCCTCACCTTTCCACCCAGGATCTAAGCCCTTCTTTCTCCTTGGGCAGAAAAGGGCTTGGATGGAAGAGAAAGTCAGACACAGAGGCCAGACCCACTTGGGAGAATGGACAAGAGCGACTAGGTTGAATTGTATGAAGGCAGGAGATGTAATGGGAAATGTACAGGGACAGGAGTCCTGTGCCATTCTGGTGCATGCTAGGTGCATATGAGCTGGGCATCCTGTGGAAGCTAAATGCCTCTGTTTCTCCATCTGTAAGATGGGAATAATGTACTTCATGTGTCCACAGACTTTTTCCATAAGGGCCAGATAGCTAAAATTTTAGGCTTTCTGGGTCAGACGGTCTCTGTCCTGGTTAGTTAACTGTGCCCTTCTGGGAGAAAGCAGCCATACGCAACTTGTAAAGAAATAGGTATGGCTGTCCTCCAATAAAACTTTATTTACAAAAAACAGGTGGCGAGCAGCGCTGCTGGGAAGATGAAGTGACAGGTGTGACGCTGCTCTGTGGGCTGTACAGCATGGATCACTTGAGGGGCATGGGCCAGGGGGCAGCTGCTACGGTAAACTAGAGCCCAGAGCAGACCACTGGCGGTGAACGCTTCCAGACAGGAAAGACCACGGACCTGGCAGTCAGGTGGGCTTGGGCTCCGAAGGCAACGCAACCACCGGTCACCTCCTAACCCACGTTGGGCCGCCGTTTCTTAGAGGGCTAAACAGGCGACCAAGGCCGCCTTTCAGGGACAGAGAAGGAAGCCCCCGCCCACGCAGCACAGCCGAAGGCTAGGACCCCGCAGGCCTCAGCCCCGCCCCAAGGCACTCAGTCGGGAAGGTGCCTCCAGCTCCAACCCCGACCGCCAGCGAGCTAGTCCCCGCCCCAGGCCCCGCCCCGGACGTCCCGCCCCCCTGTCCCGCCTCCAGAGCCTGCTCAGCGCCAGGCCCCCTGTAGTCCCCGCCCCCAGAGCCCAGGCCGGCCGCGCTCTGCGCTGGGCCCGCCCCGCGCACGTGTCGCCGTGTGCTAGGTGGCGGCTGCGGAAAAGGTGAGCGCGCGGAGGGGACGGCAGGTTCGCGGAGCCGGGGACGGGCCCCCTCCCTAGGGTCCACGCCAGCAGCGCTTTCGAGCTGCGGTGCGCAGCCTGGGGCCCGGGATGGACGCCCGGCGGCGAGCCCTCCGCGAGGGTCCCGCGGCCCCTCCTCGGCCAGCCTGGATCGTGGCCTTGGCGCTGGTGGGCCTGGGGGCGTTGGGACCCTGGCCAGGACCCTTGCTTTCCTAGCCTTAGTTTCTCCATTGGGAAAATAGGCCCAAGTGATGTGCCCCGTTAGGAGTTTTTTGTTAAAATAGGCCAGCCGGTACCCCCACGTTCTTGTTTGTAGCAACTTACTTGCTAATTAAACACGTTTCAGAGGCAGGAAGACAGTAAGCCTCAACCAAAGTAAAATAATTGTGAATTCTTGTTGAAATATTTACGAATGAAAAAAGAGGACGCCCAGGACCTGTTTCAAAATAAACCAGTTGGGGGAGGAATGTGGGTGGGAGAGAGAGGAAACAAGATAGGCCATGAGTTGGTTGAAGTGCTAAGTGGCTAAGTGCTCTTTTCTCTACTTTTGTGTATATTTGTAATTTAGCATTAAATTTTGTTCTGAGATGAAAATTTTTCTGTGGACCCCTGATAGCCTGTGTTCAAATACTGTGCCTGTGTTAGTCACAGCGAGGGCTGCCAGGACAAGTACTGGGTGGCAGAAATTGGTTTTCTCAGGATCTGGAAGCTGAAAGTCCAAGATTAAGGCGTCAGCATGACGCGTCTTCTGAGACTGCTCCCATTGGCTTGTAAATAGTCACCTGTGGCTTGTGTCCTCTCATGGTCTTTCCTCTGTGTCGGTGTCCTAAGGTGTTCTCTTAAGGACAGCAGTCATATTAGATGAGGACCTACCCTCATGACCTCACTTAATTATCTCTAAATACAGTTATATCCCTAAATACAGTTACATTCTTAGAGGGGGGGCAGGGGTTAAGACTTCAGCATGCGAATTTGGAGGGAACACAACTCAACCTTTAATACTGCCACTTTGGTAGTCTGGGATTTTGATCAATTTACTTAGCCTATCGTGCCTCAGTTTCCAATGCTTTAAAAAGGGGGCAGTAGGAGCTCCTGGGTGGCTCAGTCGGTTGGGCGTCTGACTTCGGCTCAGGTCATGATCTCAAAGCTCGAGGGTTCCAGCCCCTCATCGGGCTCTGTGCTGACAGCTCAGAGCCTGGAGCCTGCTTTGGATTCTGTGTCTCCCTCTCTCTCTGTTCCTCCCCTGCTCACACTCTGTGTCTCTCTCCCTCTCAAAAATAAATAAGCATTAAACATTTTTTTTTAATTTTTTTTTTCAATGTTTATTTATTTTTGGGACAGAGAGAGACAGAGCATGAACGGGGGAGGGGCAGAGAGAGAGGGAGACACAGAATCGGAAACAAGCTCCAGGCTCCGAGCCATCAGCCCAGAGCCTGACGCGGGGCTCGAACTCACGGACCGCGAGATCGTGACCTGGCTGAAGTCGGACGCTTAACCGACTGCGCCACCCAGGCGCCCCTAAACATTTTTTTTAAATAAACAAATAAATAGGGGCAATAGTAATTGGGTCATGGAGTTGTGAGGATTCAATTGTTGGATAATATATATAAAGCTCTAAGAGTCGTTGTCTAGCATCTAAGAAGTACTTCATACGTTGAACATAGGGCCTCACTATGGGATGAATAGTGTCATGAGGCAGTTGGGGACTTGGTGCTTATTAAACGTAATAATCATGCATTATCACAAGAGGCGTCAGCTGCTGTGCCAGACCGATTATTTTACGTATTCATATGTTTATTCATATGCCCGTCACCGCCACCCTAGTGATGCCCTTGTCCCTTGCCTGTTTGGCAGATGGGTAAGGTGATGCACAGAGAGGGAGTTTGGATTGGAGCTCTGGCTGTAGAGCTCATGCTCTTACCCACCTTGCTGTATTGCCTCAGTTACAGAGGATGTGGCCCTGGGGTAGGTCAGCCTGCAGGCAGACCCACGGAACTGTTGGCTGACTTGTCTTTCTCTTGGCTCAGGTTTACAACGGTGGCAGCGCTCATGGCAGGTCCCCTGTGGCGGGCCGCAGCGTTTGTGCAGAGACACAGGACAGGCCTGGTGGTGGGTTCCTGTGCAGGCCTATTTGGGGCCCAGATCTCATACCACGTCCTCCCAGATCCTGTGATCCAATGGCTATACCAGTACTGGCCTCAGGGCCAGCCAGCCCCACTCTCCCCAGAGCTGCAGAGGCTCTTCCAAGAGGTGCTACAGGACATTGGTGTCCCCGCAGGCCATAGCTATGAGGCTTTCACCACCTTCACCTTCCAGCCTGTGAGTGCTGGCTTCCCGAGACTCCCCGCCGGGGCGGTAGTGGGCATCCCAGCCAGCTTCCTGGGTGGCTCATTGACCAACACTGATCATCCAGTGGTTGTACATGGGCAAAGAGTGAACTGGCAGAGCCCAGCAGGTGCCCGGCTGAGAGATGCCCTGACCCTGTCCCGCGACGCCCAGAAGTTTGCCTTGGCCAAGGAAGTGGTGTACCTGGAGAGCAGTGCAGCCGCCCTACAGGCTCTGCCGGCCCCAGCTTGCCTGGCAGGAACGTGGGCACTGGGCGTGGGTGCCAAGCATGCACTGGGGCTCTATGGGGGCCCCATGAACATACGGGCTGCCTTCAACCTGGTGGCAGCGGTGGTGGGCTTTGTGGCCTATGCCTTCTCCACAGACTCTGTCACTCATGCCCTGGAAGCCTGGCTGGACCGCCACACGGCCTCCCTGTCTGCAGCCTATGCCCGGGGTGGAGTGGAGTTCTATGAGAAGGTTTTATCCGGCAACGTAGCCCTGCGCAGCCTCTTGGGCACACACGGAGCGAAGCTGTATACGCCTAGTGGGAACATCGTTCCCAGACACTGGTTCCGCATCAAACATTTACCCTTCACGACCCGCCGGGATTCTGTGCTGCAGATGTGGAGGGCCACGCTCAACTCGGGCCGCTCCTGAGGGACTCATCACAAGGACAGATGCGGCTCCTGCAGGCACCACCCTGCCGTTGACTCTGGGGGCTCTCTTGGTGCCTCTGGACCCACAGCCCATTGTCAGATAAACCAGACTTTGGAATTAAACAGCCTAGGTTCTATCCCGGTCCACCACTCATGATCCCGGGGAGCTTGGGCAAGTCCCTTTTGAATCTAAGCCTCGGTTTCCTCAGCTGTCAGATGGGGACGATGTAAATTACCTGGCAGGATTGTGGGGCAGCGTGAGCTGTGAACGAAAGGGCTTGGCCAAGAGGACATCCCTCGAAGAAATGGGATGTCCCTCCTTGGTGTTTGAATACCAGCCGGCTGTGGGAGTCAGGCCGCTTCTCCCCCCTGGAGGTGCTTGCACGACGTGTACAACCACCCTGTAGTTTACCTGGTGGTCTAATCCCAATTTCCTTCTATTGTGGCAGACATTGAAAACCTTCGAGGCCCAGGTGAGAAGCTAGTGTCGCCCTGAGAGGCTGGGAAGTGGGAGCTTGAGGGAGAGCTTCAAGGGTGATGTGTCCAGCGAAGATGGCATGCTCAGAGAGAGCCCCTGGGCCTGAAGGGGAGTGGAGGTGTTGCTGGAACCCGGCGAGACCTGTGGCCGAAGGAAGAGGAAGGAACAAGCCATTGCAGAACTGAGGCTCTGCAGGGAGGGAGCCTGCTGATGCATGGTCAGTGCCAGGGGAGGAGAGGGCCGGGGGTAGGGGCAGAGGGAGCTTGGTTTTCAGGGGCCAGGAGGAAGCAGGATGGAGGAGAGCGATGGACTGGGCCTGGTGTCACACTCAGGGCCCAGGGGGATATGCTGCACCCTTGTTCTGTTTCCCTTGGGCCTTCTAGTGGCAGATGGAGCAGACCCCACTTTTGGTCCTTGGACAGGAGACCCCTTCCCAGGAAAGGTGGGGACAGTTGTGGCCAGCAAGCCGGGTTCCCTTTTTTATTTTTATTTTTCATTGTCGATTTTGTTTTCCCCGGCACAGTGGAAGAATTCAGGCCCGTTGCCAAGGTAACTCAGGGCAAAGAGATCAGGCCACACCCAGGGAGCCAGGAAGCCCACTCAGTGGCAGACAGTTCCTGCAGGAGGCTGAATGGAGAGTGAGCAGGGAGGGGTGGCATGTCTTCCTTCTGGGTCCTTCACGGTGGCTGCAGATCTGTGCTCTGGCTCCACGGGGCCAGCCTGTGGGTCCCAACGTCCGGCCTGGCCACACACCCCATCTCTCAGGTCTCCGGGATGGCGCTGGGCACATACTTGGTGGATGCATAGGCAGGTGGATGAGTTAGTGAGTGGTAGAACGCGTGTCCGCTCTGGGAAGTACCACTTCAGGGGGCCCCTCAGGCTGTCCCCCGGCTGCTGCCCCCATGTATGACTGTGTGATCTCGGCTGGAGAAACGTGGTTTGGGGTCTGGATTCGGTGAGCTCCATCCACTTACCACTCCCCGCCCCACTGCGTTCAATACTAGAGGAGCAGCAGGATGGCCTGCTGACTTGCCCAAAAGGGAAGGACAGGGAGCCCCCGTGGTAAGGGAAGTGATCCCCTGAGATGGCTGCTGCTTTGGCTCCCTCTAGTCCATGTCACAAACTTTGCACTCCTCAGCTGCTCCCGGTCCCCACGCATGCCTCGTGTGGCCCAATTTCCAGACCTTGGCCCAGAGCCTCCACCCTGTGAGCTGCCCCTCCCCTTCCTCCCTGCTGCATTCTGCACATCGCCCAGGCCCAGGCAACCCTCAGCTCTGTCCTTGCCCTCCCCAGATAGTTCCTCCCTCCGGCCTCCTGGCCACTGCTCCCACCCCTCCCAGCTCTTGGAAAATCAGGTCTGTCTGGGTTCCATTCTGCTTAAAACTGTTTGCAGACATCCCCTTGCTTTCTGCTAGGGGCGCCTGGGTGGCTCAGCCAGTTGAGCGTCCGACTTCAGCTCAGGTCATGATCTCACAGCTCGTGAGTTCGAGCCCCGCATCCAGCTCTGTGCTGACAGTTCGGAGCCTGGCATCTGCTTCGAATTCTGTGTCTCCCTCTCTCTCTCTGCCCCTTCCCCACTCGTGCTCTGTTTCTGTCTCTCTCAAAAATAAATAAACATTAAAAAAAAAAAAAAAAGTTTGTGGACATCCCCTTGCTTTCTGCAAGAGCTGCATCTCTGAGCCTGGACCTAATGGCCTCTCTAACCATCTTGTGTCCCCTTCTCGCGGTTCTGTGGATCCTAAACTCAGGAGCACTTTGGTTCCCTCACTGCTTTCCTCTTCCTTCCCCACACAGTGCCTTGATCTGGGGTGCTTTCTCCCATTTTGCTCTTGTCTCTGTTATTTAGTGCTCTTTCTGCAGGAGTACCCAGTGACCTGACCCTGGGAACCTTCCCCATTCACGCCCATCATGCACCCTGTACCCCTCCCGAGCCCTTAGTGCAAACTGTAACTACATAAGTTACCGTGAAGCTAATGGCTTACCATCTCCTCTACTGAAACGTACTATCTATAAGAACAGTGTTTATGTCTTGTATACTGCTGTGCACTGAGGCTTTCCCTAACATGTTTGAATAAATGAATGGAACTTTTAAGCTACAACAGGCAGGCCTGGCTCCCTAGAGTCAGAGCATTTACTGTAGGGCTGGCTGCACACATGGGTGAGGCCATATGAATCATAGGTGACCCTGTCCTGTCTTCCCAACTTGGGACTTTCCAAGGGCAGGGGCTGGCCCAGATCTTCTGTGATTGTTGTTCTGTGGGGAAACCAGGACACTTCTGGTCACTTCCTATAGAGCACAGATTACCACTCAGGCCACCAGGGCGTCCAAGAGGCTTTAGGAAATAGGTCACACACCCCCCCACCCCAAATTTTGTGATATATTGTGCCCTCGCACACAGATTTGGGTGTTGATCCTAGAAAGACGAAAAAGCATGCTCCAGAGCTCTGTAACAGACCAGGTGGCAGGAAGGTACCCTGTAAATGCGGCCCTGCGTCTTTCCTTCTCAGATGCCTGCAGCACGCCTCAGCTGTCAGCACTCTGCCCCTGATCCCAAGAGAACATTGTCCTGTTGAGTCGTGCCCCCCTCCCACATGATCCTGGTTCTGAGCGTGAATGTACAGAGATACCCAATCTCCCCACCCAAAACAGTCCTGCACAGACTCCGAAGTAGGCTGGCGGACAGAAGGCTCTTGTCAAGGCACACAGATCCCCCCCACCCCATGTGTGCACGCGCGCGCGCGCGCGAGCACGCACACACACACACACACACACACACACACACACAC